CCGGGCTGGGAGGGGGGGTGCAGACCTCACCTGGGGGAAGAGGATGTTTTGGCTGTCTCAGGAGGATGAAGGACATTTCTGTCACCTGTCACCAAAGAAGGATGCAGTAGGAGGCACCGGCTGTGCTCAGTGGTCTGGGGGTGGGGTGGGGGAGGCCTCAGGATGATGGGGGTGGGAATGGGGAGGGTGGTACCTCAGTGAGGAGGAATCAGCAACCCAGAGAGATGGGAGGGACGGGGGTGTGTGCTTCTGGAGCCTCCTGGGGGGACTGAAATTAATCCGTCTGTGGGGAACAGTGGGCAAGGAGCTCATCAAGCCAGTGACAAGCGCATCTTTGATGTCCAGGGCTCAGGGTACAGCCAGAGGCCTCAAAGACCAAAGTTGGAGAGGAGAAAGAGGGTTGGGGGGGCTCCAGGGTGTTGGGAGGGGCAGAAGACGCCACTCTGTCACAACTGCTGTCATCTTAATCTGACCAGCCTCTGCTTGCCTGTCTCTCCAGGGGTGCTCTAGCCACTTCTGAAAGCCAGAGCTTAAGGCATTTCTGAAGTCCCCTCCTGTTCCTTCAGGTTCCTGTTACAATGTGCCCGGTGGATGATGAGGGAAGGGGTCTGGGCTCATTCTAAATTAGACAGTGCCTCTGTATCCAGAGTCAGTCAGAGAGGACGTGGCTGGCGTTAGGAAGTTACTCTTCCTTAGGCATCTAGAGGTTCTCCTTCCTTCCTGTCTCCCACCTTCCTCCTCCCTCCCTCCTTTCTTTGTTTTTCTTTCTTTTATTCATTTATTTTTAGACAAGGTCTCACTGTGTAGCCCTAGTTGGCCTAGACCAGGCTGGCCTTGAACTCACAGAGAGATTCACCTGCCTCTGCCTCCAGAGTGCTGGCATTAAAGGCGTGTATGACCATAATGCTTGGCCTGGTTCCCACTTTAAGTTGAGGAAACAGAACAGAGGCGTGGCCTGAGGTCATGAGCACCTGCATAATCTGGACCTACTTTCTCAGGGCAACCCCCTTTCCCATTCTCTCTCTCTCTCTCTCTCTCTCTCTCTCTCTCTCTCTCTCTCTCTCTCTCTCTCTCTCTCTCAACAAGGTTTTACTATATAGCCCTGGCAGTGGAAGGCCACAGCTCCTCATGTAGGTATCCCAAATCACTGTGCTGCACCAACATCTGGATTGGAGCCAGGAAGCTGCGCCTACACCTGCATGTCTGCAGATGTTGAAGAATAAACCCAAGTGCTTTAGGGTGGTGTCTGTGTGTGGTGAGCAGGGCCACTGGCTTCAGCCTCGCTGCTGGAGGTTCCTGGTGCCCACATCCCTGTCCCCTGAGAGTAGGGTAAGGGAGTAAAGGACGCCCCAAGACACATTCCCACAGACTGAAAGGGCTTTCTGGGTGGCAGACCGGTTCCGGGGCGGCAGATATGGAGCCTTGTGGGGAGCAGCAAGAGGTGGAGATGGAGATGTGTAACCCAGGTTACACATCTGTGAGACCTAAGGAAGGAGGAGGCCTCTGACCTGAGCCAGGGAGGAAGCTCGAGGAGAGAAAGTCCACGCCTACCTCTATAGCTCCTCCTCCACACCGCCTCAGGAAGGAGAGCAAGAGAGCTTCCTGGCTTCACTGCCTGTGACTGCTGTCACTGGGGAAGCCTCTAGCCCCAGAGGACCCTAATCAAAGTGACAGCGGTGACTACAAGAGACGAGGACCTCGGGTCTCCTCTTGTGGTGCGGCATCTCAGACAGTGAGTGTGAGGAATTTAGCAGCTTGTTGAGGGTTCCTTGCATACCGCCCCCACTCCAGCCTCCCTGAACAAAGCGGGGACTTCTCCATGTCCCTAGGGAGCTCCAGCAGCCCCAGTCTCGTTCCACACCAGGCTGGAACCAGTTTTCAGCAGGACTCAAAGCCCTGTGGCTCTTCTTCTCCCAACTGACTTCCACCTTGGGCAGCTGCTAACTAGTACCTGCCTATCCAGGGAAATATACCTAAGACCATGGCCCGGTGAAGGCCCAGAATTAACCACCAGAGCTTCCAAATAACAGGGTTACTAGAAATCCGAGACCTCAGTCCTGGCCCTAAGCACAGCCCTTCTACTCCCAAGATGCTGGTCATACCTCTTAGCATGGCCAATGGGAAGGTCTGGTTCCACATCTGCCTCCCTGCCCAGCTGTAAGTACCCAGAGGTCAGCACCAAGCATCCCTCTGAGAGTATCTCAGCATCTTGCATCAGACCGGCATAGGGCCTCTGATTTCTTTTTTTAAAAAACAATTTATTTAATTTTATTTTATGTGTATTGGTATGAGGGTGTCAGATTCCCTGGAACTGACTTAGAGACAGTTGTGAGCTGCCATGTGGGTGCTGGGAATTGAACCCCGGGGTCCTTCCAGAGGGCAGTCAGTGCTCTTAACCACTGAACCATCTTTCCAGCCCCAGGGCCTCTGATTTCTTAACCTTGGATACATGGTGACTTAACTGACCTAAATTTAACAGTCTGGAGTGGGGTGCTAGGCATCTCACTTATTGGTGACTTCTAATTTGGTGATCTCCCAGCCCCTCCCTACCAACACTGGCTCTCTTCCCCTCTTGGTACCTCTTTCTAACAACTTGAACTGCCCTACTCTCCCCCAAGAGCCTGCCTAGCTGACGTCATCCATGCCTCTTCCCTTCCCCTGCTCCTTACAGCCCATCAGTCGCCAAACCTTGATGGTTCTCCTACACAAAAGCCTATCGAAACTGTTTTCCTACTCGATCTCTTTCTCTCTACCATGTATCTCTCAGTTTCACTCTTAGCCTTCACTGGAGACATTTGAAACAGTCACTACTCCAGCCCACAGTGCTGCTGTTGACTCTGAAGCAAAGGCCAAAGGCTGACCTGGTGGGAAGACCCTGCAGGGGTTACCAGCTTACCTCAGCCAAGCTCAGCCTGTACCCTGCACAAGGCCTCCACTGGCCGCTGCCCAGCAAGGCCAGGACCTGTTGGTGCCTGTACCAACTCTAGCTGTGATTCTACTTGTGAGACCCTTTCTCCTCCAGGAGCCAACGTGAGTGTCATGGTGCCTGAGCTCCCCACATCAGCTGACTCACTGGTCTCTCCTCTGTTATCTTCCCCTGGCCCCTTTGCTTTTTTCCCTCTGGTACCCAGGGATTGGACTCACAGCCTCATGCAGGCTAGGCAAGTGCTCTACCTGTGAACTATATCCCTAACCTTCGTTACTTTTAATATGGAGACAGGATCTCACTAAGTTGCCCAGGCTAGGCAAGTGCTCTACCTCTGAATTATATCCCTAACCTTCGTTACTTTTAATATGGAGACAGGATCTCACTAAGTTGCCCAGGCTGTTTTTGAACTCACTCTCTAGTGCAGGCTAGCCTTGAACTTGAGATCCTCTTGCCTCTGCCTTTCAAATAACTGGGACCACTGGCCTGTGTCAACAGGCTTGACTTTCTCCTGGGTTCTCTTGACACTCTCTTCACTCACCTCTACAAGACCTAGTACTACCTAAGAGTAAACTCATCTTTATGTAGAGTGATTTATACAGCTTTTTTTCTCTTTTTTTTTTTTGGCAGATTTGAAAGTCTTAAAAATGTGAGCCACTCCCCCGAAACTGGGTGATAATGGTGCATACCTTTAATCCCAGTACTAAGGAAACAGAGGCAGTCAGATCTCTGAGTTCAAGTCCGGCCTGGTCTACAAAGCGAGTTCCAGGACAGCCAGGGCTACACAGAGAAGACTTTGTCTTGAACAACAACAAAAAATGTGAGCTCCCTGAAGAGCAGCTTGAACCTCCATAGATAAATAAACGTATTTGATGAATAAATATTTGATAACTAAATGTATGACTTTAAAAAAAACAATCTTGCTATGTAATCCAGGCTGCCCTTGGATTTACATCCATCCTGCTGCTTCAGCATCCTGATTACAGATGTGTACCACTCGCCCATCTTAAATGAATGACCTTTGAACCCCAGTCCTACATGCTTCAGAAGTATGGGTCCGTCAGATTGCTCAGTCATGGCCTTGAGAGTCCAACTCTAAGTGCCTACTTGGAGGAGTTAATCCCCGCTATCACAGTCTTCCTGTTACTCGCTGTGGATCCGACCTCTGCCTGAAATGCCCCTCACCTGTCATGCTCATCAACCTCTTCCTCCAAGGTCTTTGTGCCCCTGGAGATGTGTCTCAACTCCCATCATGCTAAGGGGCACTGTGTAAACATCACCCAATGATTAGGAGCTCTCAAAGTTCAAGGTAGCCTCTGGCAAAACCACCCAGCTGGGCTGCAGGGTGGGTTTCTCCAAGCCACCTTCAGGATCTGGGGTACCAATGCCCCCTGCCTCTCCCTCCTAGGCCTGTGTGTGGATCTGTCTTCCCTGCCAGCCTGCAGCTCGTGACCCCCATGTGCCTGTCAACAGGCATCACTCTCACAGAAGCACTCACCCATCTCCCCCAGAACACTGCATGGCAGCCAGCTGCCCCTCCAGCATTGGCAGCTAAACCCCTGCAAAGTCACCCCAGCTAGGGAGAGGCAGAAATCCTGGCTGGGAGTCCAGCTGCCACGGGAAGAGCAGCTCCTGATGTTCCTTGATTGGAGTGCTATGTGCCACGCTGACCCCAACCAGAAAAGCAGGAGTTTGGAACACTCTGAAGGTGAGGTCGCTGTCTGGAAGACTGTCCCTGGGAGGATGCTCCAGACTGGAGAAATGTTATGAATGTCCTAACCATCCACAGGGAGAGCTTCTAGAACTGAAGAGAACTCAAGAGGAAACTTCAAGACTCCCACATCCCAAGAGATCCCATGGAAAGCTGTCCAGAAGCAAAACAAAGCTTTCAACTTTCTTCGGTTTTACGGAGCTGAACTCACAGCACATGAGGGGGTAGATGCCATGCCACTGAGCTATAACCTCAGCTCTGTAAATCAAACCTGACAGTATCGGGGAAGCCACAGACCCAGGACCCCTTAAAGGGACCCGGATTATAGAAAGGGTGCTAAGCTCAGCACCACTCCACACTGACCTGGCCCTGTGGAGGTCTTGCCCAGGCTGAGCTGCCGAAGCCTCCGCTGGTGGGCGCGTCCCCCGCAGTGCACCTGGGCCTGGGCAGCAGAGTTCAGCTGGATGTTGCAGACATCGCAGAGCGTGTAGGAAGGCTGCTTCCTTTCCCTCTTAGGCTTCGATGATTCTGGAGAGTGAGGGGGACACTCAGATGCTGCAGTTGTGGGGGGCTCCTTCTCACTTGAGGGGGATGGGCTCAGTGGCCGTTTCATACCTGAGCAGAGAGAGTGAGACAAGTTTGTGATGGCTGAGTGCCTGTGAACACAGAGAACAGGAGAGGTTTGAGATCTGGAGATGCCAGGTGACCCCACTTGACTTTCAAAGACACCCCTCACCAAAATGTCCAGAGGAAACACGATGGGTGGTCTGTTTTAGGCAGAGTAGTTAAAATGGCTGCACACAGCCGGGCGTTGGTGGTGCACGCCTTTAATCCCAGCACTCGAGAGGCAGAGGCAGGCAGATCTCTGTGAGTTCGAGGCCAGCCTGGTCTACCGATCCAGTTCCAGGACAGCCTCCAAAGTCACAGAGAAACCCTGTCTCGTAAAAAAAAAAAAACAAAAAACAAAAAACCAAGCCGGGCGTTGGTGGCACACGCTTTTAATCCCAGCACTCGGGAGGCAGAGGCAGGTGGATCTCTGTAAATTCGAGACCAGCCTGGACTACCAAGCGAGTTCCAGGACAGCCTCCAAAGCCACAGAGAAACCCTGTCTCGAAAAACCAAAAACAAACAAACAAACAAACAAAAACAAAACAAAACAAAAAAAGGCTGAACCATGGGAGGCTGGTGGCACACAGGGTCTCAGGGACAGAGAGCAAATCTCAGAGAAGAGGGGGTCTTGGTGACAAAGTGGCATTGGATAAACAGCAGCAGACCAGCACAGTCTTATTTTGGGAAGCCATTGTCCTGTTCTCAGCCTGGAGGCAGGAACTGAATCCTATGACAGGCAGGCGTGTGGCACCTACTGGAGACACTACAGCCCTCTGGCCAGAAACGCAACCACCCTGTGCCCTATACCTAGCAGGGTGACTTTCACCAATAGTGACAGCCTGAAGAGACATCCCGACCCCTGTCCCACATGGCTTGAGATGCCCCTACTATCTTGGCTACCTGAGCTGAGGACACCGTTGGCCGTTCGGTTGAGACCTGGGTCTGCTGAACACAGCATTCATACCCTGCCCTGGACCAGGACTTTCATGGCCTCCCCTCAGGCCATTATCCCCATTTTTCAGATAACCTCTCCCTCCTAACTCATTTCTCAGTGCTCTCTCTCACTTGGCTGCTTCTGTTTCTACTCAGGATCCAGATGCCAAATTCCCTTTCTCAGACAGAACTTGTAACATTCACTTCCTTCCTGGTGTGTGTATGTGCATGTTTACAATATGTGTGTGTGCATAAGCATGTGTGTACATTTACACATTGTGCACCTGTGCATATGTGTGTGTACCAATACATAGGTGTGTGTATATGTGCATGTGCATATGTGTGTGCATGTGTGTATGTGTATGTATCTGTGCGTTATGTGTGTGTGGGTACCTATGCATAGGTGTATGTGTGCATGCGCTTATGTGTGTGTATATACATATGTGATTATTTCCTGCTTTAGCCTCACTGGGAGACTTCCTGATGTCAGTCCTGTTCCCCTCAGACTTGAGCAACCCCAAGGTTTGGGAAAGCATGGCTGAGCCCACCTCTCTAGTTACAGATGAACTGTACAACCCTTTTCCATCCATGTTGAAGCCCTAACCTTAAGTATACCAGAATGTGACTGCATTTGGATAAAAGTTTTTTTTTTTCTAGATAGGGATTCTCCTGGAACTCTGTAGACCAAGCTAGCCTTGAATTCAGAGATCCACCTACCTCTACCTCCTGAGTGCTGGGATTAAAGCTGTGCGCCATCACTGCCTGGCTCAAATACTGTCTTTATAAGGCAAAGAAATTTGAACAAGGCTATTTCAGAAGAATCAACCCTGAGCCTGGGTGTAACACACACCTGTTATCCCAGCCTTAGTGGAAGCTTAGGCAGGAGATCAGGAGCTGGAAGCCAGCCTGAGCTACACAGCGAAATGTTGTCTTAAAAACAAAACAAAACAAACAAACAAAAAAGAGAGTAGAATGTTGGTCTGTAGCTCAGTTGATAGAATTGCTTGCCCACCACGAGGGAAGTCCTAGGTTCAGTCCCCAACACTACATAGACCCAACATCGGTGGCACATGCCTGTTATCGGTGGCACTTGGAGGGGTGAGAAGTTCAAGATTATTCTTAGCTACATAGTTTGAGGACAAACCTAGGGTACACCAGACCCTGTGTATGAATTAATTAATTAAAGAAAATCATAAGTAAGAAGAGAAGGCACCACTGCTACGGCCAACCCTATGACACCCTGATCACTCAGGCCTTCAGCTCCAGAACTAAGATACAACACATTTCCGCTGTTTAAGCTCCTGTCTTGCAGCGCTTTGTGAGGGCAGCTGGAGAAAGCTAACACTTCTCCCTCAAGGTCACATCCTGCATCTTTAGTCTCGCTGTGCACAGCAGCTCAGTCAAGAAATACCACAAGGTTCTCCCAGGAGCACACATCCAGTGGGCTCCACATCTGAAGAGGAACTTGATTACCCAAGTGCAAGTCCATGCACATGAACCTGCGTACATTTCCTTAACGTTCTCCGAGAGCTGTTTGGTGTTTTTGTGGACGGCGGTCCATGTGATACGTGTCTGTCATTACTCATGTGGGGACCTCGGGTAGGTGGAAGAGTGGCTTGGCTTAGACTGGGTGTTCCCTGATGGTTCACACCTCCAGTCTCAGCTCTGGCCTGCTTGTCAGCTGTGATGTGTCAGGTCACCGAAAATGTCTCTGTTCATGAAGGGTGGCTGAGGTGAACCCATCTCACTCCCCCAGTGTGCACGTCACAGAGGAGCGCCATCACAGTGTAATTGCCATTGTGCTCATGTCGCCACTACTGTTGAATGTCCCAGACTTCCCGTGTGTTACAGGTTAAATCGTGTCTCTGTCCCCACATTTGATGTGTTGGGAAGCAATCGTGTTTGGAGCTAAGGTGACTGGAAAAGACTGGGCCAGGGTAGGGTGTGTTCTGTAGTAATTTCCTTTGAATCAAAATACTCCCTCCTAGAGGGGAGAAAGAGGCTGGCTCATGGGACACAGAAAGATGACAAAACTTGGGCTTGAGAGATGGCTCAGAGGTTATAAGCATTGACTGCTCTTCCAGAGGTCCTGAGTTCAATTCCCAGCAACCACATCATGGTGGCTCACAATCATCTCTAGTAGGGTCTGATTCCCTCTTATGGCGTGCAGGCAAACATGCAGACAGCTCACTGTATACCTAATAAATAAAAATAAAAACCTTTAAAAAATTGACAAAACATACAAGGCTCAGAAAACTTCTAAAACTCCCAAGATTCACCAGGCTTCCCCCAAAGTTGTAGAAGCCGTAGCAGCCCTGGGAAGAGGACACTCTCCCATCAGCCCATGGGACACAGTTTTCCTGAGCCACACCATGCTGAGACTGGCCATCTCGGTGATGCAGCTGCCCATGCTTCTGTAAGTAACTCCAGTAACCTCACTGGTTCACTCAGCTACACTTGGGTAGAATAATGTCTTTGGTCTGCCTTTGATTGGTGCCCTATCCAAGGTGAGCAGACATTTGTTTATGTCTCTCTAGGAATGATCACACAACAGGTGAACCCGGAACATGAGGGGTGTGGTATCACAGTCGGGCACATAGGTTCACGTGAGGATGGATAGAGTCACGCAATGCACCTACAAGCTGAGGGATGCCAAAGATTACCAGATATCCTCTGCGGTTTAGGGGAATGACATGTGTCAGAGCCCCTTCACAGTCCTCAAAGGCACCGGCCTTGAGAAGCCAGATCTGTGAGACAATTTCTGTTGTCCATTTTGTATTCTTCTATTATCCCTACTCTACCAAACTAATACACTGTGGGTTTGAACCTCATATAGCTACAGGTACCTGAGAATTTTGAACCTCCCATTCTGGGTGCAGGGTGGTGGCCCTGGGTACCAGCAATGGCTTTCATGTGGTCCAGTGGGCATCTATCAGGAAGATGAGATGTGGCTACCCTGAACAGGGCCACACCACTTTTCTAAATGAAGGAGGCATCAAAGTTGTCCCCTTGCAGCTTTGCCAGGAACTCGGAACACTGCCCTCCCCCCAGAAGACACCTTGAAGGTCACTCTCATCACTTTGTGAGAAGGTCCCCAGTGCTACATGGAGTCTTCCACTAATATTTAACCATCTTTTTCCCATGGATGGCAGCCCCTATAGCTCTTCCGCCTTCTCCAACTGTTCCATCACTCTCTAACAGTAGATAGGAAGGAGGTCCCAGTTGCCAGAGTTAGAAGAGGTGGCCCAGGTGTCAAGGGCCAGGTGGGGACCTCAAAGGAATGAGACTTTCTTAGCTGTCCAGGAAGAGCTCAAGGGGACAGGGATATTTTGAAATCTCCATTCAATTTATGACAGACCAGACAGGCACATGGCTCAAGAGAGGAGACAACTATGTGCCACACTGCTGGTTAAACCTCTGTGATATACAGCCTCTGGGCTCACAGAACTGCTGGATTCTGTGCAAATGTGTGTCCCCTGCCAGGATGTTAGGCCTGTCCTGCTTGACCCAGCCCAGCTGTCCCCTCCTGAGCTACATTGTTCCAGCTAAACCAGGGCTGTCAGTCATATGGAGGCATGGGCAAAATGTGGGTATGCACTCAGCTTATCTAACTCCAAATGTGAACATTACAGGCACACACACACAGACACACAGACACACAGACACACAGACACACACACACACACCACTAGCCATATTCACCACCACCATGACTCACTCTCCTGTGACCTCCACTTGAGTCTTAGTGATGTGCCAAGAGAAGAAAATTGAGTCCAAGGGCAAGGTAGTGGACTTGCATCAAAGACCATGGAAAACCAGGTTGGAAACTGGAAAAAAAGTTCCAGAAACTTCTCTGGACCCAGGCTATAGCCCAGTTGGTATTGTTGCCTGCCTAGAATGCATAAACTTCTGAATTTGATCCCTAGCAGCATACAAAGCCTAGTGTGGTGTTATAATGCCTATAGTTCTATACTCCCAACATTTGGGAGAGGCAGGAGGATCAGAAGTTCAGAGTCAGCCTTGGATACATAGAGAGTCCAAGGTCAGCCTAAGCTGTGTGAGATCCTATCTCT